ACAGAGGCCGAAGGCCATACAAAGGACATACATTAAGGAGGATAGCATACAGCAGGGAGGGAAACAGGGCGCAACAACATCAGCNACAGACAGACAGATGTACAAAAACAAAAGCAACAGCAAACGCGAGATCAAGGTACCCAACACAGCAGAGTAGGCAGGGAGGACATGAAAAAACAGAATCACAGCACAGAGGCCGAAGGCCATACAAAGGACATACATTAAGGAGGATAGCATACAGCAGGGAGGGAAACAGGGCGCAACAACATCAGCAGGGTACAGGCTACCCACTAGACCACCGGGGCCACTGGTCCCCCCGGTGGTCTAGTGGGTAGCCCCGCAACCTGCTAAGGGCCATGTCATGGGTTCGAGTCCCGACAGAGTGAGTTTTTTCTCGCTGATTGAATCCTGGTCTCCGTTGGAAGCGACCCGCTGCCATGCTCGTTGTTCGGTAACTTGATCGACTTCATGATTAGTCGCGAGGGAAGGGATTGCTGTACTGTTCTCGCGATAAAAATACGTCAGGCAGGAACCGCAGGAGGGGGTCCAACCCCTCCCTCCTATGTGACCCCGGTTGGGTCGTCTAGCTGGTAGAAGTGGAGGATAGGGGCCAGAGGGGCAGACGACAGTGTCCAGTGATGGGAGAAAAGAAAAAAGAACAAAAAAAAGTTCGCCACAAGTGCTGCCACGGCCGCCCCACTCGCTTCTACAGCATGTGAAAGTACCCGGAAATCACTGAATGACGCTATCTGGTGCAAACGGAAAACATCTAAATCGGCATTAATTATACAAACCACAAACATCCCCTATAAACTGTGACGCTGTAGGTCAGCGACAACATTAATTATCGGGAACATGAGACGATTGTTGATGAATTCGGTCGTTGCAGTGTCTCTTGGCAGCTTCTTGGATATTACTCGGCGCTGTTTTCGACCTACAACAGGGCCGGTGCTAATGTCACAGAAAGGATTTTCAAGCAGCTGCTCAAAGATTCTACAGCTGCTGTGTTTGAACCTGGAGTCAGCATTTGACCATGCTCTTTGTACAGAGGGGGTCCCTGTTTAGTGCCGGTTGAAAAACGCCCCCAATACCCCGTGTTTACGGCGGGCACACACTGAATCTCCAAGTCATTGTCAGTGCCTTGATAGTGCCGGTGAATGTTCTGGGCACTGCATGTGCTGGCATATTTGTAGACAGGGACTCCCTCTGAATAAGAGTTACCGTACAGTGGTGTGCACATGCGTATCTTACTACTTTACCAGGATTATTTTGTGTTTGGTTGAAAAGCAGAAGTTCTTTTTTGGGGTGTGGGGAGATGGGCAAATCGATTTTGTCTTGGTTTGATGAAAGATACCACAACTACTCTTCCAGAATCGTGCGCACCTAGTTGCCTGCAGACAACTACTTTACAGTTTGAGCGTACGTCTATTTCATTGTCCATCCCGAAGATAGCTGCCTTGCGCTGAGGTTTCGAATTGAAAGATTAGGTTCGTTGGAGCGCATTTCTGGGCGTAGGATCTGCATCATTTGTTGTCATCTAGTGGCTCTTTCCTGCGAGTCGTCGCCTGAAAAATACGTGAGGGATGTTCTTAGGCTTCGAGTGACTCTGCAAATAGATACACATGTGATCGATGTATAGGCTATCAAAACCGTGTTAGCAATACACAGCACTCGCGCTTCCTTGTTGTTTTGTTGCGTGGTGCTACACGCAGAAGATATATTTTGCATCACCCAAAATTTCCCAACACCCAAATACCCCGGTGGAACGGCGTTTGCCGGAAAACAATTGAAAAAAACACAACAGTATTCCATCGTACTATAGGAAGATTTTGGGGACTCTACCGGTGTACTGCTGTAAGCAGATAGGGTATTGTACGAATGCTCAATGCAAATCGTAGATCTCTCGTCGTTCACGATTCACGAAGGCCTGCGGTGGCAATCATCCATTAAGTCAACTGATACTGCTGTAGACTAATCGTCAGGAAAAAAAAAAAATACGCTGAACGTGTGATTCTGGCAATGAACGAGTAGTCTAGTGATATGTCTTGGGCACGGCGTTTGGTTGTTGATCAAGTACTGGCTGGTATTGCCGGGCAAAACTCTCCGCTGTCTTGCTCGGTGCTGTGCAATAGTTTCATACCATTCCACTTTGCGCGTCCGAGAGAGTTTGCTGGTGGCGTGCTGTCGACCCGGCCTGTATTTCGAAATAGCACGTCTGCGTACGCCTCTTTCGTGTTGTTTCGTTTCGATGTCTACAGGGTGCAGTGTATTGGCAGCCACAACATGAATAATAGTAACGCCATATGCTACAATCAAAAGATCAAGAAACAAATGACGTGTGGTTGGTCCATGTGAAAATATACCGCACCGAATACCGGAAAAATACCGGTGTGACCAGAGACCTTGACGAAATATTCGCACGCTTCCGTGGTGCCCTGTTCCCATCCAAAACACGACGGTAACCCGAAATAGCAATACTGCTCTGGATGGATATTCGGCGACAAACGGCATCGAAGGGCCGAATGAGCCCTTCATATATTTGTTGCGTTTTGTAGCCCTTCGAAGCCATCCCATCAAAAAGCGGCGCTGGGCGCTGGGTAGCAGTTTCCACCTACCATGCGATCTTGTCTCTCCTCTTCCGCGCTCCGATCCGGGGTCTCAGAGGAATTCAGAACTCCGTTCGGCCCATGTCTTTTGTACGCGATGAATGTTTGTGCTGTACGTAGCAGTGAAATATTTCCAGCTCATTATCATCAGCTCACGAAAAATCAACGGATTTCGCTGTGGCTACTGAATACTACATAGTCTAGTAGCATGCAGATAACTGTCAGTAGAGCGTTGTTATGAGTGAGGCATGCAACCGGGTAGTGGACGCCCCTGTGAACGGTAATGCTTGTGATATCGGCTACACGTTCGGAGGTTTTGCTGAGCGCCTGTTCATGCACTTTGTCATTGGCAACGCTTGTTAACGCTTGAACTTCTACTCAACAGACGCCGTGGGCACGACGTCCTCCCGCGCTATCCGGGCTTCAATCCGAAGCCAACAAACAGTTACGGTGTGTGTCGGCCTCGGAGCCGCGTTTTGCCAGCGCAACCTTTCAAATAGACATTGAACGTAGCGATATGGCGTGCTGATGTACCGTGGTTCCATGTCTACTCAACAGGGGACGCAGATGCGACAACTGTTGCCCTGGAACCGCCAAGTACTCTAACAGGAGATGGGGTACCTAGTACAACTCCACACTGCCCATGGGGTGCTTGCGCACGCATGTGACCCTTCGATATTCCTATCAAGCAGCGCTTGGTTTCATTGTCCTCCGTGCCCCCAATGACAGTAGTTGTGCTGTCATGGTTTTGACGATCCATGTGTGTGTCCTGTTGGCTGAATGTCCGGCGGACACACCATCGCCACAACGCCCGTGTTGACAACAGGAAAAATGCCATGTGTGACACACACGTGGCGGATGCTCAAAATAATCAAGTAGCTGCTGTGTGATGCGGCAGAGCCGGAGACCACCGAAACTAGCAGCGGAAACTTAGGCGTACCCTCACATTTTCTAAGTGAAATTACCGTTGATTGTGACGGTGACGGACAACCTCAATTCATGGCTCGTCATTGGTTTGGCAGCCAGAGCACACTACATCGAACACACAAACGAGAATGGCGGGGGGAGTTAGCGCGGCAGACGCCGACAAAGGAGCAAGGGAAACAAAGTGGGAATACTCACCCTTTCTCGGACAAAAGTGGGCACTCGAAACCAGAGACCGCTCATGACAGGGCCGAACACTCAAAATATCGTGCTGATGCCTGGACAACGTGAGTTCGGCCCATGCGCAGCATGAACATCGATTTTCGGACTTTCGGGCACATCTTCACCCCACACTGCCGCCGCGCACAAGGCCTCAAGAAAAAAACAAAACGATGGCGATAGCTGCAAAAGGAACTGAACCGGAACGGCCATGAGCCTGCCAAAAAATGCCCTTCTTCTGAATTCCACACAGCAGGCAGGAGCTCCACTGCAGCAACCCTGACTTTGGTGTAGCGCAGAACATAAATGTATATTTGCTTTTCGGGCAGAATACATGGACATGATGGGGTCCGTGTGTTCAATTATTGTTTTGCGATATTTTCAAAACTATTTCAGTTTTGGGGACGCCCTTTTTGAAGCGTTTTGTTTCGGGCAGGACAAATAGAAAAAAAATTACTGTAGGATCGAGACCAACACCGCCCGATAACAGCCTTTTACGAAACAGCGTTTCCAGCATCTGGCGATCCACGGAGGCAATTGGCTGCGCCCACAACACGGCAATACGCGGGGAGTGCGACGTTGAGATTCGGGGCACTGCTGCGCAATCCCTTGGCATGGTTTCAATTGGTTGTGCGGGGTAGTGGCAGTTTTGGGGTGTATGCCACGTGCGTGCGGAGGCGAGCGACAGGGACAATTCGCCGAAGGCGCGCACCGGATGATAAACAAGTCTTGCGCCTGAAAGAACGGCGACGTGCAGCAAGCACTGCTACACACACAACGCGCGGGGCGGGGTGAAGCCTGCCGGGCTGTTCGGCTCGCCCGATGGTGCCGATAACCTCCGCGCGTCGTTGTGTGTGGAGAAGCCCGGAGTTCCCCGCCAAGAGCGGGTGACCACTTGTACATGGCCCCGCGGAATGACCGAGTAGCAACGGCAATGAGGGACGGAGCCTTGAAAGACACCTCCCGAACGGCAGTACGATACCGTGCTTCGACCAAAAGCGCGTATTTCACTTCTTGATGGATCTCGGCAGCCCTCGTCTGGTGGGGTGCCCTCCATTGGCGCTTTCAAACAAAAGGCTTGCACCCTTCTGGACATCGTTCACATAAGCACCCCGTGAGTAGCAGGTGTGACAAACGTACCTTCTCCGTGACAATTTAATCTTTGGAGAGCAGGGGATCGAATTTCGGGTGCCTCGGACACGAGCCGAGACTTGGTAAACGCAAAATAATACAACTGCGGGCATGTTTCACTCACTCTTCGCCGTAGTCGAAAGTCAGCTCCTCTCCTCCAACCACGTCTCTGAGGGTCGTAAGAGCCACCCCTTCCCGGTCGGGAAAACCGCTACTCGCGGTAGCAGCGACGGCCGCGGCGCTGTTCCCGTCCACAGGTCGAAGCTCGACAACAAGGTTAGGCCGTCCGCTGTGGTTGGCGTACCTGCTTGGGCCGTGTCGTGGTGGGCAAAGTATGGGTTAGGTAGGGGAGGGGGGTTGACAGCAGACAGGCTGGATGGATGAGACGTGAGAAGGAGGCGGGTGTTTGCCCCGGAGCGCGCAACACTTCCTCGAAACATGTTGGTCACTGGTTCGGATCAGTATGGAAAATCTTTGTTGCTGCACCGTCCAACTCTGACACAGAAACTCGAACCTGAAGCTTCCCCCAATCATTGCGAGGTGGGCACCCGTCATAGAACCGTGGGGTTGGGGCATATGACTGCAGCCAGGTCGCTCTGTGTAACACCGCTTTTAATGGCACCACAATGTTGCAAAAAAGCTTCATTTCTGCAACTGTTCTTGCAGCTTTGCTATTGTACGCTCAGTATGGGAGCTAAAACCGGTTCTTATGGCTCCACAATGTTGCAAGAAAAGCTGCAGACTTTTGCCGCAGCTTTTCTTCCAAGCTTTCTCAATGGAACTTTTGATGCACGCTCTTTGTGGGACGAAGAAACGTTTTGTGCACGGGACTGGCGGAATGCGGAGGCGTGATCTGTGTGTTTTTTTAGCAACGGAGAGAAGGTACGCGCCTTTCATGTTGCACCGGTTCAAGCGTGCGGGAAAGTGTAATTGCAATCTTTCTTCTACACACTCACGATGCCCCAAGGCATCAACCCTGGTACCACAAACATGCTGGGCATGGCTAGCTCGCTCGGGGTGACATTGCTGTTGCTGTTGCCTTCTCCTTCCAAAAGTTGTCGCTGGAAAACCAAACCATGCGCACACACCCCCTTCGAACTAGAACCAACTGATCTCTGACGTGGGTACTTAAGGGGTGTACTCATAGTCGTGCATGCCGTAGTCGTTAGACCATTGACCTCGCATCCCTACAAAGCCGGGACGGAGCACGCCGGGTTCTCACCGGACCAGGCTCTCACATCACCAAGCGCGAAGCGCCGTGAGATATTCGGCGAGTCGCATGAAGGGTGCGCTGCATCCTGCTATGGGTGTTCGGCATCTTGTGCTCACTTCCTTGCATACGGATGACAGCTGCGGATGACTTGAATTATTTTCTGGTGCTTTCACTTCCAGAGACAGTTGTAAGCACTGTGTAACTGCCTCGAGGGTGCTTGACCAATTTAACACGACCTGGTGCGATCATCCCCCTTGCGCGGAGTGAGGGTTCTCGACCCCGCACAACATGATCTACTCGACCACCGTTATGGTTATCGCCAAAAAAGAAACAGAGGAAAAAAGAAAAACGGTATCCTGGTTGCCGAGTTCACGAAGTGACTTGGCTTGTCTACAACGTCGTTGCCAACCGACGAAAACCCAATCCCGATGGCAAACACCGAGGGGGGGGCTTGTTTGACAACGTCGTTGCCAAGCGACGAAAACCCAACCCCGATGGCAAACACCGGGGGGGGGGGCGTTTCGGGGTCGATCAAAACTTTTTACCCGATGCACACGATACCCCACGGCATCAAACCTCGGGCATGAAAGATGGAGCAGAGAGCTACCTCCCACCGAGCAGCCTTGCTATTGCTGTTGCTTCCTCCTTCGGAAAGTTAACGGTGGATAACCAAACCCGTGGCGGTCAAAAACATCGAACTTGAACCAACCGCTAGCGGCCGTTGACGGCACAAACTTTTTTCCCGGCGCATTCGGCACCTCACGGCCCCAAACCAAAAAAATTGTCCTGTGCACAACCGTCAACGGCCGCTAGCGGTTGGTTCAAGTTCGATGTTTTTGACCGCCACGGGTTTGGTTATCCACCGATAACTTTCCGAAGGAGGAAGCAAAAGCAATAGCAAGGCTGCTCGGTGGGAGGTGGCTCTCTGCTCCATCTTTCGCCCAAGGTTTGGTGCCGTGGGGTATCGTGCGCATCGACAAAAAAAAATTGATCGACCCTCAAGTACCCACGTCAGAGAGCGTTGGTTCGAGTTCGCAGGGATTGTGTGCGCATGGTTTGGTTTTCCAGCGACAACTTTTGGAAGGAGAAGGCAACAGCAACAGCAATGCCACTCCGAGGGAGCTAGCTCTACCCAGCATCTTTCTGGTACCACGTTAGATGCCTTGGGGTATCGTGAGTGTGTAGAAAATAGGTTGTAACTACCCTCTCCCACACGCTCTGACCGGTTATTTCGTGGTGCTATATGAAAGGCGTGTGCCTTCTTCTCGCCGTTGAGAAGACAAAAAAAACAATCACACCTCCGCATTCCGCCAGTCCCGTGCACAAAACTTTTTTTTCCCATAAAGAGCGTGCATCGAAAGTTCCATTGACAAAGTTTGGAAGAAAAGCAGGAAAAGTTTGCACCTTTTCTTGCAAGATTGTGCTGCCATAAAAAGCGGTGTAACAAGCAACGTTCGACCGCACTATCTCATCTCGGTATTTCGGCCTCTTCCTTTATGTACACACATATATGAAAAAACATATCTTATTCACTTCATTGTAGGGGGCCAAAATTCTTCCCTGCTTTCCCGTAGCGGTAGACCCTCATTCTTCCTCCACTCAAAACTCCACCATGAGAGCCACCGGATCGCGGCCAGACATGGGGATGAACACAAAGTTAGTCTCACTCCCAGTCATCCAGCAACCCCTATTCCACCTAAAACCACGCAGAACGGTCAACACCACAACCCACACCCGTACCAACACCGCCCATCCAACCCAGACGAACATCCCCAACCCAGCCGACCACCACCACTCACGACGCCAGGCCTTCAATCCCACCTGGCGATGCTAGACTTTTCCGGGTCCCGCGCGTCTAGATATCGGTCCGGGCCCAGCTGCATGACATAGTCCGAGCCTTCGAAGTCGGGATATCGGTCGTCCAGCTGCTCGGCCGTCAGCACTTCCCCCGAGTAAAACGCAACGGGTACGCCTTTGGCGATAGGCCTTAATACATTGTAGATACCATAACAATACAGGAGGCACCCGTGAGGCACGAGTTTGATGCAAGAAGAGAGTGTTGCGGCGATGGCAGGGGTCGTCGAATTCGTTTTGTTCTCTACACGATAGAAAAGATCCCAGTGGTGTATGTATAGGGCATCTTGATGCTCCCATCTACCCGTGGGAGTGTGTTCAAACTGTCAGGCAGTTTAGAGACAGTTTCGAAACGCACAACATCCCAAAGAATGGAGCATGGGGTTCGCGGGAAAACTTCCAGATTGCCACACACCCCCCAAGAGAAAACAAACTGCGAGCCTTTGGTGATAAAGCATGTCCATGCCGGTGGCAACCAAGCGGGGTACATGGTGTATGACGAGCTACACACCACGGAATCGAGTACCAAAAGATTGGGCAAGAGCAGGATGGGGCTCCGATCCCAGTGTCCCTTGCTTCTGGGTAGTCTTTCGAAACGACACGAGGATTCCTCTGTCCAGTCAGTGCGCCCCTGCTTCGTCCCCAGCCACGCACTCGTTGTATTCTTCTCTCTCCACCCCTCCCCCCTCGCCCCCCCTTCTCTCCCTTTCTCTCTGTCTCAAAAACGCAAGCCCCTCCCCCCCAAAAAGTCAAGCTCGCCTTGTGGAGAACAGCCCCTTCCCCTTGGCCCCAACGGGCCTCACTTCCACCAACGGTGATTCCGCATCCAAAGGTTCGACACCACCGGCAGAGGCAGCAGGATCACCCTGGAAAGGCGGTGGTGGCACCGGCGCCGTGGCGGGGGGGTAGCTCTCGGGAGACGATGACCTCCCCGAGGGACGCGCTCGCTTAGGCGATGATTCAGAAGCGGACCCAAACCTCACACGGCCGCCCCTCTGTGACTTGTCGCTCTTGGCTCGAAGGGCCGACAGGGAGGAAATGCACGGCTCTGGCGGCGCATGGGAAACACCGGGGGCTCCGTGAGGTGCCGCCGCCGAATCGGGGGTGGAACCGGAAGCGGTTTTCGTTTTTCCGGGAAACGGTGAAGAAGGTGAGCGATTGTCGTAGCGCCCGTGCTGTTTCGAGAAGAAGATGAGCTTCAGGACGAGGCTGTACCGTGGTCGGTTTGCCGTCTGTCACGAGGAGGGAGGGGAAATGGAACGTAGCAAGAAGTAGGGGAGGAGGGGGGGGTGAACCAAGCATGTTTGTGTCCGGGGACAGCGCGCGGAAACTGCGGAACAGGGTTAGAATCGGACGGGGCGGTAGGAACACAGCATCAAGTACGGCCCGTAAAGATGTGAAGTGAGCGAACTATGGCAACGAAAAAAATAGAGATCTACAGTACGTACGAGCGGATTCCATGTACGTGCCGCCGCCCCCGTCCATCTTGAACCAGCCAGCATGAGAGCAAAAAGGTACAGGGAATAAACTCTCCGACTACCATAGCTTGTATAAGATGCTACACACACCGCATTTGGACAGATTTTCAGATCTCGAATACTCCACGACGAAGAGGATACAAAGTCAAAATGATGCGCGTTCGGAAAGCTCTCGACACGAGAGTTCCAACGCTGACATTTCCGGCACCGTCAGTGCTTGTGCTCCAGAGTAAACAAGCTGTGACAACCGGCCCACGGGCTGTGGAACTCATGCAACGAACGGTACCATGATACAGACCCACACCAACAATATTACGGACAAAAGAGGCGACGGGAATATCGGGACACATGCATGTGTGTGCCTGCAACACGTGCACATGATCCCCGTCGAAAGATCGCCCAAACCATATGACCGTGGAGTTTAGAATTGCAGACTCAGCAAGATCGATAATAAAACGAGGCGCTCAGTTTAAGAGGCCCACACCAAAACCTATTGTGTAGCTGTTGGGTTCCCCCGCGGAGGAAATGAGAAGAGAGCCTCGGGAAAAGGAAGAGATTCTCGAGGAAGCAGGGGCGCCACTTCCGTACTTCCGTCGGTCCTTTCACACCTGGGATGGAGTGGAAATCCGGTGCGTGACGTCCTGATCCATTACGATGGCCCGCCCCGCCCTCGGCCTAACAAACACCCCGGTTCCGGTAGGGGGGTCGAGGAAGAGCGTCTCCGCGTCCCACTCCCTCCGCCAGTCCGCGTCGAGGTAAATCAGCAGCGTCGCGAAGAGAGGCATCCCCGGCTCCCTGCGACAATTTAGTCGTGCGCTATCCATCAAACTTTTATCCAGCGACCACCCATTTCGTTTGGGATAGAATGCATTGATGGAGGCTACGTTTCGGCGCTTTCTGCGTGTTTCACGAAGATGGCGAAGTGATACAGTCAGTGCTTGTGTGGCGGCAATTACATGCATTATTTCCATGAACATCGTGATCCATTCTTGTCAGAGTGACGTCATACCCTGCCAAACCTCACCCGCTCTGCTGTTGTGCAACTTGATTTGATACGTTGAACGGTTGGGACAATCTATCAAGAACTTGCACAAGCACCTCAGCTACTCCACCACACCAACAGAAAAACAACGGGACACGCGGAGAAGAGGGCGACGAACAGAGACAAAAAGAAAAAAAATGAAGGCAGACAGACAGACAGAGCTGGGCGCCAACATTGGAGACCGGTCCGCACTGTATCACAGCTAAGTCGGCAAAAACAGCTCGATGCACGCGCCTGTTGGTGTAGGTCCCGAAGTGATCCCGCCAGGGCGACGGCGGAAAGGCCGCCGGGTCCGCGTCGACGTGCCACGAAAAACGGTCGCCGTAAACGGGCGCGTTGGCCACCATACGTGCGGTGCTGGAACCCATGACCGCCTCGGGCATGTGCGATATCTCGAAGTCCGGGTAGAGCTTGCACAGCCTGGATTGGAGCTGGGCGGTGGGAGCGGGCGCGAAGCAGGTGTGAAAGACACACTTGGCGAAATCGTTTTATCGTTTCACTGCCGGCGTCCAAATGTCCGAGCTTGCAACGAAGTGCCCCGGCGGGGGTCAGGACTGTGCGGCGGTCGCAGGCAAAAACTTCTCCCCGAACGTCGCCAACCCCACGTCAGCAATTACCTGCAACTACGGTAGCAGCAGCAGTGGCACCGCGCTCAAAAATTTAGCCACACACCTCCACAATCGCCGGGTGCTCCCCGTCGCGGCACAACCATTCCATGGCCTCCTCCGTCAAGCCCCAGCTGCCTGTCCCCGCCCCTCTCCCTCCCACCCCCTCCCCCCCCTCCTCCTCCTCGTCCACATCGGTCAGACCCCGCTCCCACTTGGACGGCGGTGGCCGTTCTCGTACCGGCGTTCCCCCGTTGCCAGATGTCGGCTGATCGAGCGATAGCGCTGCCGCCGTCGCTCCCGGTGTCGCCGGCACTGGTGGTGGTTTCGTGGCCCATCCAGGCTCTGTGACTAGATCGAGCAACTCTCTGCAGAGGTCCTCGTCCACAAGACCGTCCAACACCACCAGCTGAAACATGGAAAAGCCAAGCAGGGGGGGAGGTGGATCGCCGAGGTACTAGCTGATGCTTGCCTAGGTCATTTGCCCGATTGATCATGCATCCCTCACAAGGCGGAGCGTCACACGAAATCCTTGAAGCGAAAGACATGAAACCCGTGTGGATGAACACCTGAACGAATGGACCACACTGAAACGAGACCACCTACTTCTACACGATGCTTTAGATTATGCGGTGATCGAATCGTGGCGCATAGCGTGAGAAATTCCTCAGGGTGAACCAAACCTCGCATCTGTCACGAAGATTTTCACCCCCCCACTTGGGCACAGTAGGGTATCAGCTTGGCTCGCACGATCCGCCTTGATCCGAATATACCTTTTCGAGGAGCGGCCTGATTTCTGTCGGCACGAAAGCATTTTTTCCCGCCACAGCCGTTGTACGTACATGGCTCATTCAACAATCCCGCAAATCTTCACGTGCCGGCAGTCTTGGACGACGATGTGTGCTTCGCACTGGTCCTTCGGTTGGAACACTTGGTAGGCATACAGTAGAGTGCCCGCAATAACGCCGGTAAGTGCCCGGCGCATCGACCGGCGTTATTCAATGTGCAGAATGACTTGGCGACTCAGTCTGTTCCCAGCAGTTTCCTTGGCGCTATACAGGGCCGCCGGCGCTACATCAACCCGCGATATTGACGCCCCCCCACTATGTCTACCAGCTAGAGCCCGCACACTAAAAGAAAAGAGATCCTCTTCTTGGGCCCGCGGCACGTCCTTCTGGCCTTGGCGTCGCAGCAGCTACGGCGGTGATGGTACCCACCCACGCCTGCGGTGCCCCCAGTACTTGTCCCGGAGCAGCCGCTGACATCACTCTTACTACTGTCATCTTCGTCACGTCTGCAACTTTTACGTAGCAACAGTAGAGTGTGGTGGCTCACCTTGCTTGTGTCCCACCGTTCCCCTCCCGGGGCATTTGACGAGGGTACCCACGACCCGTCCAACTCAAGATTCATCGCCACGTTCACACCCCGGCTCGAGGGAGACCACTCGGTCTCGTGCACTTTCAGCGGCTCGGATAGGCCGTTCTCGCTGTGCGCGTGGAACGAAAGAGAAGGTTTCGTCAGTTTTTTTGGCGGTGTCACACCGCTTCTCCTGTGTGTGTGTGTGTGTGTGTGTGTGTGTGTGTGTGTGTGTGTGTGTGTGTGTGTGTGTGTGTGTGTGTGTGTGTGTGTGTGTGTGTGTGTGTGTGTGTGTGTGTGTGTGTGTGTGTGTGTGTGTGTGTGTGTGTGTGTGTGTGTGTGTGTGTGTGTGTGTGTGTGTGTGTGTGTGTGTGTGTGTGTGTGTGTGTGTGTGTGTGTGTGTGTGTGTGTGTGTGTGTGTGTGTGTGTGTGTGTGTGTGTGTGTGTGTGTGTGTGTGTGTGTGTGTGTGTGTGTGTGTGTGTGTGTGTGTGTGTGTGTGTGTGTGTGTGTGTGTGTGTGTGTGTGTGTGTGTGTGTGTGTGTGTGTGTGTGTGTGTGTGTGTGTGTGTGTGTGTGTGTGTGTGTGTGTGTGTGTGTGTGTGTGTGTGTGTGTGTGTGTGTGTGTGTGTGTGTGTGTGTGTGTGTGTGTGTGTGTGTGTGTGTGTGTGTGTGTGTGTGTGTGTGTGTGTGTGTATGTGTACGTGTGGGTCTGCGTGCATAGATAAGTTGTTGTAAGATAGCTCGGCAGAGGAGTGATCGAAAGCAATGGTGACGAAACGCGCTGCTCTTGTTCTGTTGTCCCTCCGAAAAGCTGGCGTCATGACATGCAAGACCGGCGAAAGCTGATTTTTCAATTGCGCGCACAACAACGATAACCTTTTGTTCCCTCTCGAAAATTGGCACTCCGTTCATTGCGTGTACCCAGCACAACTTTGCGCCCGAATGGCAAACATGCGCGATAGTAGCGAAAGGAGAGTACGCGAACAAACCAAGGCTTACATATGGAAAACCACCCCACCCCCCCGCGACGAAATCGCTTGTCAGGAAGTAACGCGCTCATAGCAACAGATGCCAAACCACACTCACGCGAAGTGGCGCCTGGCCTCTCGCCTCCACAAGTCAACCAGAGGCATGTCCAGCAGCGCAGCGTCGAAGGACAACACCGGCGGCGGCGACAACGACGATGATGATGAGGCTGATGCTGGCGATGGAGGAGGAGGAGGAGGAACGCAGGAGACGATCGCCGGCGGGACGGACTCGCAAGCGTCAAGCGCCTCCATCATCGACAAGGCAAGCCAGTCAGGGAGTCCTTCCGCCTCAGCGGGAGGCAGGCTGGTCGGTGACTGTAGCACCAACCACAGGTTGGGCATGAAATCACTGGAGACACCAGCACCTGAGCTGGGCTTGTTGTTGGCGGTGGGGGCGGGTGTAGTGGTGTGGGTGTCCGCCATGGCGTCGACCAGCGCCTGCGGGAGGGGATGCTCGCCGGCTGGCCCCGAGCTTCTCAGAATCGCCTGTCGTTGAGACGATGAAACAAACGGAACATCACTCGTGAGAGCACGCCCAATAGGGCACTTTGCTTGTTGGACGGTACTGTGCTGTCGAGATGGAGTTGAGAACAATCCTCCGACAACAGGTCTGAGCCGCGAAAGGTATCCCGGCCAATTACCGCTGTGGAAAGACTCACCATACATTTACCTACGCAGCTGCGCAATGACGAATGGATTGGGCAAGGCCTTGAAATGCGAGCTGTGCACGTTAGAGAGAATGCTCTCGACGCCACAGGTGTTGGGGTCAACCACGTGAGGGTGCATGTAGCACACATAATCACTGCTGTCAGATTGTTTCGGTCAGACCATCGGCGGAGGGACTCGCGACCCTGCAGTCTACATGAAGCCCAAGCGCCTCAGAGACAGACAGAGAGTACATTTGAAAAAACACCAGTGGCCCTCTCATCATCCCGGCGCGAGGCATCCGCAAACTGCCCTGCGCGGTTCACTGTTCAAATCATACGCTTGTTGCAAACTTGTGCTGAATACCTCCCTCAGGGTGCTGCTATCCGCAGTTGCAGCAGTAGCTGAACCGTCGACCACATGCAACCCGGCCGGGAACATGGCACCTGATGTCACAGCTTGCTCCGCCGCCAGTCTCTCCGGGGGCGTCAGACCAAAAGAGACAACGACAGCAGGGATGCCGGCATTACAATCTTTGCCAAGCGACATCGCCGTGGTGGCAATCGGTCGACCATCACGGGACACAGGCGGGCCACAGGCCAAGTTCGTCCTGGCACCTCTAGCGGCGACGGAAGGAACGAAGCCAGAGGCCTCTGCCAACAGCACCAGAGAAACCAGCAGGGACAGTATGGGCGAGGCAGGCAGCGACGCCTTCATGACCCCGACGGTTCCTCTCGCTGTTGCCGTGGTGTTGCGGTTGTGCGCAGGAGCCAGGGTCGGGTGCTATTCCGCCGCGTTGTACACATGCCAACTTCCATCTTGCGGGAATGTTCAATCTCCAACCGGCAGCACTCGGCCCGCTACTGGGGCGCGCCACTCTTGTTCTCTTTTCTCTGTTCTCTGTCTTCCTTTCTCCCTGTACAACCGTTCCCTCTCGAAGGGTATGTTTGCGCATGTCCAGGTGAAGCCAGGGAGAATCAAGAAAGGTCGGGTGGTACTTTCATAACACACCCAGGAAAAGATGTCTGGCCGGAACCGAAAGATGACAAGAAAACGATAATGAAAAGAGTCGGAAATAGCAGTGATTTCCGTGCGCCGCGTCGTGCGTGACTAGACTTCTAGGGCGTAGGTTGCAAGGACGACACATAATCAGATCAGCGGTTAGTCTTCAACATTCGTTTTCCTTGGTGAGGGCTGTGATACAGTACAAGTCGTCCCGCCGTTCACGTGCGTATCCTCTCCGCGGTGCGCGTTATGATACGAAGTGCGTAGCGGAAGAGAGAGGCATCACACGAAGTAACTCACTCACTGAAGATCGCTTACGCAGGATTTTAAGAGTATCTAAAAAAAGAATAGGGAAGGGGCACGCAGACCCTATCTAACCCTAGCCCTAACCCCAAAGCACGGATTGAATACTTTATCCCATATTTTTGCTTAATCAATTTTGCTGCGTAGACTACTGCTCGCTGAGCGTCTTCGCCAATCACCTGGCAAAGCTCCGCGGCCCCTGTCTTCAAACGTGTATTCGGGCGAAAACCCCCATGATTCATCTCCAAGAGGAGACGAAGCGACAACGGAAGCGCGGTGTGGCTTCAAGAGTAAATAATAATGCTGCAAAACAAAATCAGGAGACAGCCTCCTCGCGTTCGTGCTCCTCCTTCCGGTTTTTCCCCCACAGAACGGGCCCGGAGATAGGAAACGTCAAAATCGGGTAGAGCCTCAATTTCTTTTTTGGGGCAGCAGGACCAGCCGAAGTCGGTCCAGTTTCTTATAACGGATTTCTTAGACTATTCCTTTGGGCTGTCGCATCCTGCTCATCTCTTGTTTCCTCATTTTCTACTTTCTGGCGAAGAAAACAACACACACCAGTACTGCAGCAGCAGTGGCTGGTGGGTATAGCGCAGCCCGCGGCGGTGCGGGGGGGCGGGGGCCGCCGCGAAAATATCCCCCCCCTCGGTGTTTGCCATCGGGATTGGGTTTTCGTCGCTTGGCAACGACGTTGTAAACAAGCCAAGTCACTTCGTGAACTCGGCAACCAGGATACCGTTTTTTTTTACCTCTTTTTTTTTGGCGATAACCATAACGGTGGTCGAGTAGATCATGTTGTGCGGGGTCGAGAACCCTCACTCCGCGCAAGGGGGGTGATCGCACCAGGTCGTGATAAATTGGTCAAGCACCCTCGAGGCAGTTACACAGTGCTTACAACTGTCTCTGGAAGTGAAAGCACCAGAAAATAATTCAAGTCATCCGCAGCTGTCATCCGTATGCAAGGCAGTGAGCACAAGATGCCGAATACCCTTAGCAGGATGCAGCGCACCCTTCATGCGACTCGCCGAATTTCTCACGGCGCTTCGCGCTTGGTGATGTGAGAGCCTGGTCCAGTGAGAACCCGGCGTGCTCCGTCCCGGCTTTGTAGGGATGCGAGGTCAATGGTCTAACGACTACGGCATGCACGACTATGAGTACACCCCCCCGCCCCCTACCAATAAATATATTAGCTAGGTAGGGGTCGGGAGCATGGCAGCAGCAGCATCATCAATGGGGCGTTTCTTGTTGGACGCGCTCCCCCAGCAACCCCTCTCGTTTATCTGGGGGTTATCTTACGATCATGTTCTGAAGGGGGCGTTTCTTCTGCGGTGGCCGGGATCGATCTGAGTTTCTTAGCCCTGTTTTCTTCACGGAATCTTTCTTACTTGCGGGCCCCTTCTGTATTTCCACTTATCACGAACTACACTTCACTTGTGCATTATTACCCGATCGTCATGTGAAAAAGGAAAAACGAAGGTACCCGCAAGGAGTTGGCGTTCATATCGCCACGAAGAAGGCTAGAATCCCGTCATAGATTTGGGGGTATCATCACATGTTGGTAACCCATCGGTGGGATTGGGTTTGCCCGTCTGTTCAGGCACATCAGCCTTCGTTTCCATCAATGTTATTCGTACGGTCTTGCTTGTTCGATGCATACCGTGCAGCGGAGTCACACATAGGGCATTTCAACGCCTACGGTGTTTTGGACACAGGCATACTTTGCTTGCCCAAGCGCGTCGACAAGACGGCCGCGGGAGAGTCGATGGACACATCATCGGCTCGCGTTTTGCTCATCATCTTGTCCGGCTCACGGGGAGCACAAAACATGCGGAAATCCCGGTGAGGTGAACACCACCAGAGGATTGCTTGCGCAACGGCAGGTGTATTGCGGGGGGGGGGCGGGTTAACGTGGAGATCCAAGTCGCGTCCCGCACCCAATCGACTCACCATGTCGTAACGGGGCGATGCAGTACAGTAGCGTCTAGAACGCCCAGCCCCGTGGGTAGGCCTTCCAATTGGTCCCACGCCATCAACCACCTCCAACCCGCGTCTCAACCCCAAACTTAGAAAAATGCGATGTTGCGGTACCCAAACGCGCTTCATCTCGCGAAACCGCGCGGTAACTTCTTTGTTTTCACTTCCCTTGTCAATGGATGATGCTAGAAAGGGTCGTCAGCCATTCCATGAGGCAGGGTAGGTCGTCATCCATCCAACAACCACCGCGGCGGGGGGCATGTTTTCGTGTGGCGACCATAATCATACCTTAGGGACGAAACACGGGGTAGCGGCGAGCAAAGACACAGCTACAACACGCTGTGGGCTCGAACAAGGTTTCCACCGTACCGCCTGCTGCCTACCACTTGCGTAAGGATCTTCCATGCGTGTCTTCGTTCACGAGACACATCTATCCTTTCATCAAGGAAAACGCCTACACCTCCGCGTGCACTGGTACTAAACCATTCGGAGTACTAAGCTCGCGCTCAAACCGCCGTTGCGAAGCCAGCACGAAGCGACCAGCAAGAGGCACAACCCCGCGACGGCTGACACTCTCGGCGTTGTGGGCGTCACGCGAACAATATCGGGCACCTCCCCTCGTCCCCACTTCCTTCCGCGCAATATCGTCCGAGCTCCGTCGTTCATGCAGGTGGCTCTCTGCAAGAATCCATGCAACTCCCGAAACTTCGAAGCAACGTCGCCCCCCCACCCACCCACCCCCTCCAGGCGCATCGCCCTCGCCTTCCTACGTCCCGGCATCTTCGCAAGAAAGAGGTGCTGGTGGTGGTGGGGGGGGGGATTTCATTCCATTTTCATTCCAAATTTGGGAACATTATCATGGGAATATCCATCCAGTGTCGCGCGTCCTTCTCCACGCAACGAATTCCCATCGATCAATCAGCTCACACACCAACTTCCTGCCAACTCGTCCTTTTTCTCGTGTTGCTCGCTGGCTTGCCAGGAACAAAAAAAAAACTGAGGAAAAAGTTGTCAAAGGATGATGCAGGAATACGCCTCTCGCAGATGCGCTCCTATCTTCCTGTCGAACACAAAAACAAAGAAAAGAAACGCACCCACATGAAAAAAAATCAACAAGCAAACGACGAGAAGAGGAGAAACAATCAATCAAAGCAAAACAAATCCAACGTCAAAATCCACACCAAGCAACCTCGACCACCACACCAATCACAGCGCGTCCTGGGACTTGCGAACCAAAAGGCGCGACTTCTTTTTGAAGGCTTCGCGGTCATTTCGCCACATGACTGCCGCATCGATATTGGCCGGGGACTCATCGTTTGGGTCCGAGAGCATTGAGACGACGGAGACGATAATCCCTTCTACCCCCAGGATCGGGCGCCAGCGTTCCTCCGCGGTTTCCTGTTGACACCCACGTCAGTACAGCAGCAGTTACACGTAGCGCTCGCACGTGAGAACCTGGAAGTTGTCTCTGGCTAAACGAAAGATCGATAAAACACTGGAACCTGGACATCAGCACATGTACTCAGTCAACAAGAATACAGAAAACGCCCGCACTAAAGACACTTGGCAGTCAAGATATTGAGCATAAAAAAAAAATCGAACAACTTGAGCACTAACCAATTGTGAGCTCGGTTAAAAATGCCTACAAGAAACCCTACGCCACGGCCATTCGTAGAATAACCCTAAATAGGAAGTAACAATCCCAGCCTCGGTCGAAACTGGAGGTGCTTAGGTACGGACGCAATAACCAACGCCGCAGTTGAGTAAACGACGAGCTTTCCCGTAACAACACATGACTTGGTAGGACAGAAAGACACATACACAAACGTGCGCAAGCACCGAGAGAATGCCACTGCCGCGTTTCGACACGGAGGCTCTCTGGGGACAAAAGGGTGCCTGACAGAAACGGAGTTTTTTCACGCGTTTGCACAAGCCACAAAACGCGCACGCCCGGGCGGGGATAATACGGACGCGTTCAAGACCTTCGGTGTGAGAGTCGTATGCATCCGTACCTGTTCGTTGAACTTGTCCTCTCCCGGTGGGTGAAGGATCGAAATGCACACCCTCCCATCCGGGTACACTGCGGCAAGCGTCCACAAAAAACGGAGGCAAAAACAACAAAAAGAGATGACAAGGTTGCGGAGCATGGCGGATGAGTGGCAGACAAAAAAAATCTCCCCAGTAAGCTCTCTGGCGGACACTGCGATGTGAAGTACTAGCCAACGCCTTGTGAATGCTGAGACTGAAGACGACAGAGTGCGTTCCACGCCTACTAACGTGTCACAAGAGGCAACACTTGCGCTTCTGCGTGTATACTGGGACAACACCCGCTCCGAAACATGGTTCGAGAAAGTGGCGGCAACCAAAAAAGGCAAGCTACAATCAGCGGTTGAGTATATTCTTATATAGCAGAAACAACAACAACGACAAAATCATGGACGCCGCCACCAAAGAGCAATCGCTTCTTACCATTGGGATGGAACATCTCGCTGACAAAGGTCATGGTCGGAGGGTTGTTCGGGAAGTCTTTCGGGAACTCGAGCTTGGCTTTGAAGAACCCTCCCTCATACAGCTGAAATATCAGAAAGAAGAAACACATACACACAAGAATCAATACTTCGAAAACGTGCAGTTTTCTTCTGTTGCTACCGTTTCTGTCTTCGATCCGGAGAATAGATCAATCTCCCCCATGCCGCCCCCTCACGGGGTCACAGTTAATGGCATTTAAAAGTGCTTCGTGTTTTCAACCGCACCACGACTGACGTCTTTTCATTGGTCAGCCGGCTAGGCGGTCGATGCTAATAATAAACACACACAAAGAAGCGCTACTCATAAAACACACAAAGAGGCGAGAGGGGGCATGAACGCACGAACCAACAAGGCAAACAGAAAGGCCCGCGAAACTTGAAACAAGTCGAGGGTCCCGCAACAGCCAGCGAATGTCTCAATCGCATCGACATACACACATGCCATGAACGCCGTGTGCAGGAGTCAAATATCATGTCTAAGTGGCCTTAATCCCAACCCTGGCTACCCCACCCTTCTCTGCTAGCGGGGCGGGGGCGTGGTTACTCCGAATAGGAACGCGCTCTGGCTGATAAACACCCCAAGAAAAATATTGCAATTGTTGGGCATTGTGTTAATAACGGCCCAGAACAGAGTGCACAGACGCGGTCCACTCGTTGGGCATATTCCTTCACTGACATCGGAGACAAGCCGATGGCACCATGAAGACAAGACACGAACGAGCCCTAGGAAGAAATGTCGGCATAGCACCAAAGACCATATAGATGTTGGAATTACCGGCTGCCAAGCTTGCTTGTTGACCAGCATCACTGCTGGCTGCCGGACTTTCTTGATGATCAACGCAAGAGCTAAAAACAGGCCAAGGCCAAAGGAAGACAGAAGATACGAAAATACCCAAATCCCAAGTTTTGATAGCGCGTCCAACAAATTGATGGGCACTTGGTGGTTTTGTCTACTACATGGACAGGTCACATCAGACAACATGACATCAATGGACACGCTACAACAGACAACATAACAAAACTGACGGTGGTTGGTTCACGGCAAGAGACGAGGTAGGCGAGCACTCACCGTATCCGCTGGGCCCACGATAAGCAGCTCCCAAATAAACATATTGTCGTCATCGGCCAGACCCACGGAGACTCCCTCGGGGGGGTTCTTGTTGAGTTCTGAAGGCGGCGTGTTTTCCGACGGTTCGGGCACATGTCGCGCGAGAGTTGGGGGATATGGAGCTCGGAGTTTGCAACAGAGCCGCAGCAGCGGTGGGCTAGAAGGGAACACCCCCTTCGTGAGGTTGAGTTCGCGAGCACAGATGACATCGTTATACATGGGGTGACTAGCCCTGCCGGCACCACAAATCCACTAGTCGAGAAAAGGGGAAACGGGATCATATTCCGGGTGAACATACTAAAGCAAGTAAATTGGGTTTCCTGTCAAGTTGGCGGCTGCATGCGTTTCGTTCAGGTAGGCATTTTCTGGGCAGCTTGGTGGTCAGTGTGTGGTGTGTCAATCAAGTCCAATACTCTGGGCGTCACTCCTCCTTTAAGAAAAAGTGTTCGGAAAATGTCCGAAGCGCTAATCCAGGGGTCACACACAAGCAAGGCATCTAAACGCCGGACATTCTTGTTTGTGTTTTCCCTCAGCGGTCTCACCTAAAAAGCCATGAACGCAGACAACAACGCCCCACGTGCGACAAAGGTCAGAGTGGATTCCCCTAGTTTGGGGGCCGTAGGGTCACCCCAACACCGTACAATGGAGTCGCGGGGTGCGACGGCAGACTGCGGCCGGCTCATGTTCTGCACTGGACGCCCTACCCAGCTTGTGCCCGCCCCGTGTCTGTCGGTCAAAAAAAGGTGTTCCCTTTTGACCAGGACCATGCCACCCCGTTCCTGTTGTGGACTTGGCTCATTCTCTTCGCGTGTGCTATGCATGTTGCTGTAGCTTGTGGTCTTCACACTGCTGTATCGTCGAGGAGCCATTCTCAGCCTCGGTCCAGAAGTTGCCGTTAAGGAATCCAACGCGCCGACTATTTTCTAATTAGATACCACACGCCCAACGCCTGGCCGAACTACAGCAGTGGCCGAAAATCGCGTATGATTCAGTACAGTGTTGGAGCAAACACCGCCCGATCCCGAACCATCTTGGAAAAAAATCGGTAGGTAGTCTACGCAGCAAAATTGATTAAGCAAACATATGAGATAACGTATTCAATCCGTGCTTTGGGGTTAGGGTTAGGATTAGCGTTAGGGATAGGGTCTGCGTGCCCCCTCCCTATTATTTTTCTAGATACTCTTTAACATCCTGCGTAGGCGGTCCAACAAAATGTAAATGGCATCATACCCCCGCGCGAAGCGAACCTATCCTACATGTCCGGAAGGGCGTTGCAGTTGATTTCAGGGTGGAAGTCAGGATCACCCGCGGGTGGACTTGATCCCTTGGACCCTTTTCATTCACGTACCCGTAAGACTCGAGGCACAATGCGTACACTTCAGGCGTGGGGGGTACGAAAGCGAACGTGAGCAAGGGACGGAGGGGAATGACTCACCCTGCAGTTGCCTCCGAAGAAGCTCGGTCGCGTAGTCAGACATGTTCGCTCCTGCTATCTGCGGCCTTCGTAGGTACCAAGCCTGGAAGGGTTGGGGGGGTGACAACGAGAACGAAGAAAGGGGGTTGACATCAAGATGAGTAGGGTATTGATGGAGACCAATCGTTTCACCCGAGCACAACAATGCATCAAGTCGAAAAAGACGTGCCACGCAGAGTGTTGTGGTTCAAGTCCTTGCAGTATTGTAAAGCCGACATCCTCTGACGCGGACTTTTCTTTCACGAAATACAAAACGTGGCACAGATTTTTCGGTCAGACATGAACCAGGCCCGAACTCGTCGTGATTTGCAAGACGATTAAAATTTTCGCGTGCTGGAAATTGTTTGGCAGGGAGACTACATGTACCATTTTTGTGTGCTGTGGAGGGGTTGACCAATCACGCCAGCTTGTACACTCGTTTAAGTATAAAATGTGTGTGTGCTATTTTGGCCGATTTGTGGTAGCCCAGTGTGCAGACACTAAATTAGACGTGATGCTGGAAATAAAACCAGAAACGCGAGCGGAATGTGACTCTGTAATGCGCGGCACAGCCACTTCTTGAGAGGTCAAGCAATAATCGCGGGAACTGATCGCCGTGTCGCATCAGCGACCGAGATCAACCCGCCGGAGCTGCAAGGGGAGTTTATGGGGGGAGGGGGGGGTTCTCCAATCACTGGTGAAAGTGAGAGCTTCTGAACGTGTGATTCGCGTTCTGCTTCAGGTGGTTTTGGTAGGACAGCCTTGAACAACGCGACGGCCGTGGTGCAGCTGGTGGGCGGGCAGGTGGCAACAACTGTGACAAAGAGAGCGTGGGGGAGGGGTTGAGCAAACCAACCGCGCAAGCTCTCACTAGCAGGACGCTTTTGCGGCAGCGTGCTTGTTCCAGTGGCACAGCTGCGGCGGCAGCAGCACCAGCTACTGCAGCCGCGCACGCGAGATAGAGCATGATTGTAAAACCTCCGTACTACTGAAAGTGTGAGTGGGTGAAGCAGGAGGGATGGATTGATGAGTATCGGAATTTCAGGCTGTGATTATTAGGCCCGAGGGGGCCAACGTTTGTTCCCGAACTACGCGGCGGCCTGGCGTGTTCCTCTGAAAGCGCGTGCTCCCGAGGCTGGGAGCTATGAACAACTTTGTAGTCGCGTTGTCGATTTGAAGGCGCCCCTTAGAAGGCGAGGCACATAGCGTAAATTTCCAATTTCCGCAACGAGCTTCTCTCCAATGTGCTGTTTGTAGTCGTCCGACTTGCTGCTGCGATTTGAAAAGCCACGTAATCCAGAGTACACATCACCACGGTCGCCCCTTCCAATGAAAACACACAAAAACTAGACACAATGAGCGACGGGCGATAACCTACAGCACGGTGATGAGGACCAGCAGCTGCATATGGGGGGCCTAGGGAGCAGGCCGGAAGCGCGTGTCGCTGCTGCTGTGTGCACATAGGGTAAAAAGCTCCTGACCGGCGTTTTTTCGGCAGCTGTGTGGGGAGTGTTGTGTATGTTTTTTGATAACTCACCGCTTTCCGTCGAGGGTTCGCCCTCGCAGAAAAACAAACTCGCGAGCGCGCTCCAGCGTCTCCTTCACCGATAGCCCCGAAACGGATGACGGTGAAGACTTGATGACCCTCGGTCCAACGAATGTGTGGCGGAGTGGCTCTGTGCGGAGGTTGCGAACTCACGGTTGTTTTCAGCACTTCCACTTTCCCACTTCGATGGCCGGGTACGGGTATTTCGGGAGTTGCTATTTGTTGGATTGACTTTCCACTCGGGGACATCGGGAATTTGTTTCTTGAGAGACGTTCAGAAAAAATATATTATATCGGGCCTCTCTCTCGCTGTATTCACTGCCTGTTCAGTCTCCCTCTGGTGCTACCAGCTTGGCCCTCCATTATGACTTCTGCCGCGCAGCAATGGGAAGTGGACTTTGCGAAGGCGCGAGAAACGCTAGACTCCTTGTCAGGACCTGGTGATGAATGGCAGGTTCGTTTGTTTGTCTGTTGGTGAAATGTCTCATCACGCCGGCTGTGTTTTGATTGATTGTTGACTCACCCGCGCGACGAGCATGCACAGACCCCGAAGCCTGATGAACACGACCTTGAGAAACGTCACGCGACATATGGCAAACAAAAGACGGCACTAATATTTGGCACAAACGGTATCTGTGACACACGCAACAGTTCTTGATGTTGATGTTCGTGATATTCAAACCGGGAACTCCATTTTTTTTTTTTGTCACATCACGGATCGACCAACCCCCTCGAAGGAGGTGTGCCTAGTGTCGCAGTTGAGGATTGATGAGACCTACGGCAGTGGAGACTGGGAACTGGTCAACCTGAAGTCTGCGAAAGTCGCATCGAGAGTCACATCGCTTGCTTTTGTCTTGCGTGGTACCCCCCTCCGGTGGTCTAGACTACTTGTACTGCTGTTGGAGCTCGCAATCCCTACACCCTGTTGCACTTGATTAGCTGCCTGGCAATCGCGGCGTACTAAATATATATATATTAGCATCTCTCCAAATGTTTACAAGTACCGCTGTAGCGTTTTCCAATGCTCGCGCGATAGGCAGAGATGCTATCATAGCTCCCTCGCGGACAACAGACGTTATTCGACACGGGTTGCCCTATGCGCGTTTCCGTGTTGGTCCGTTACTTCGCCTTGAAAACTGCTAGAAGACAAGATGAGAGGAAATAAAGTACGGTCGTCCCCGCTTTAATGACACCATTTTTAAAGACACTCCCTGCTTTAAGGACACAAAAACATCAGAAACATGGTGCCCCGCAGATATGAAAAAGTAGGGCGGGGGTAGGGTTTTCCACCATTCGACCCCCCCCCCAGAAAATGTGCTGCAGCACCTGTAGATCCTGGATCATCAACAGCGGTCTGCTGCAGCCGCACACAGCGTGTGGGTGTATGGAAAGATTCATTCCATCTGCTAGCGGTTCGTCTGCTGCCGGCTTGAAGCCATGCGGCGAACCGACGTGCCAGTTCAAATCTGCACTGGTGTCACTGGTTCATCAGTGTCTGTGCGAGCGACCCATGCACGCGTTTTGTGGTCGGGGCATCGGAGAGGAAGGTCACGGACAGCAGGGAGAGTGCTCGGATTGCCAGGACAGCGTTTGTGTTGTGTTGTGCCTTGTTTTGACCTTGTGGGAGGCGCGGTGTCCTCTTTGTCGCTGTGCTTCCCCGACATTTTTGGTNTGTGCGAGCGACCCATGCACGCGTTTTGTGGTCGGGGCATCGGAGAGGAAGGTCACGGACAGCAGGGAGAGTGCTCGGATTGCCAGGACAGCGTTTGTGTTGTGTTGTGCCTTGTTTTGACCTTGTGGGAGGCGCGGTGTCCTCTTTGTCGCTGTGCTTCCCCGACATTTTTGGTCTCTGTGTTTCTGCGTTACCTACATTTTCCTAGTGTCGTTTTACAACCTTCGATATTTCTCAGGTGCGGTAGCGAGATCTTGGGCAAGATATTCACGGGGAGGACAACGCCTAATAATATTAGCAAATAATTAAGCCCATATCAACACCAGCGCACGACCGTCGTGTACATTACGATGCGCAGGTCGTAGAACACCATCGCTTTCAGCGTTTTGGTGGTACAGTGCGGGGAAATTCAAGCGATGGTATGCAAGTATGGATTGCAGCATAATAGCAGCATTGGTTGCAACCTTCACATCACCTTGTGTCGTAGGTTTCAAACAACACCTCTTGTGGTCGCCTTTCTGCTGCGAATGCGCACCTTTTGACATATGTTTCGCCTTCATTGGCCCCGGGGATGGTGCGTTAGTGGCCCCGGAATTTTAAAGACTCTTCCCCTCGTTAAAGACACTTTTTGGGGGGGAAAACGTGGTGTGTCTTTAAAGCGGGGTCGACTGTCCTTACTGATTAGAAGATGCCGACCTCAACGAACATCAGCGGGGTAGAGTAGTCGGCGGAACCCTCAGCTGCTTTGAAAGTTTCAGTAAATGCGGCTGCGGGGTCGATACGCACAGTATACCAAGCTTGCCGGGCTGCTGCTTCTATGTAGATCAAACGATTAAAGAAGTAGCTCGTCTCTTCGTCTATTTCGCCAAATATCTCAACAAGCGAGACGACTTTTTATCCCGCTCACCGCAGAGAGTGCAAGACATCCCCTTCGATCGCTGCTGTGTTACGTACTATCCCCAACGACTTGTACTGTAAATGGTCTCTCTGTGATTGTTGCGTTTCTAATATGAGAGCTAATTTTGATTAGCAGCTCGGACGGGAGAAGATGTAGATAGCTGTGGACAAGTCCCTGACCCTAGGCAGACAGAGAGACAAGAGGCAGTCTTGCGCTTGTGGTCCGGAAGCAGAACAGCCATCCCGCGCTTAAGGCCAGCTTTCTTCGCACAGGCATGGTGGCTCGCAGCATGTACAACGTACGGAGGGGTATCAACCTTGAGGACACTTCCCCGGCTGAAGACACCTGTTGTAATGAAACCATGCATGTCCTTAGCAGAGGGATGACTCAACACTGCTGCCGTCGAACTCCTGCGCCCCCGCTGTTGGTAGAACCCTTTGGCTAACATGTGTCTTCCCTCGATTTCTTTCCCCACTACAACACTGGCGTCCTTCCGTCGGTCGGCCGGTTAGCGCGGTTGATGTTTAACAAGAACACAGACAGCTGACAGGCCAACTAACCGATAGGCAGAGGTAGCGACGAGAGCATTGTTTCCCGTGTCAGCCAAGGCCGGGATACGAACGCCTGCCGAGCAGCTATCGAGTGTTTGGAATCGGCCCCGGATTGTGTGATCGGCCGCGCTAGCCGTGTGATGAGTTGTAGGTGTGTGTGCCGCGCCAACTTATTGGAACATGAAGATGCATGAGTCTGGCTGGAAGTGTGCGTCTTTGTTTTTCGCATCGACCGCGCTATCCAGCAGACCGATGGAATGACTTGGGTCCAGCTGCATTCGTGATACGCTTCGTAATGCCGTGGCCTGGGATAAATTAGCGTGTGTTCGCGCGCATATGTTGTTTTCTACACGCAATAAAACAGGCGAACAAGCTAGGCGAATCCGTGGAGGCCCTTGCTGAGCGGTTGGCGCTGATGGAGAGAAGACCGGTTGACTTCGCGGTGTGAGTATAGTATGGTTTTGGTGACTTGACCTCAACAATCTCGGTACGGTTCAAACAACGAAATTCTTCGGCTTGACAAATTGGGCAAGGGTGCAAGGCTGCTGCAAAGCCTAAATGACAGAAGCGTCAAACGACGGCTATTTTATTGTTCCGAACATGAGCGCTTGCTCCCAATCATTCGTTGGTGGACGGTTGTGTTTGTGTGAGTCGCAGGGAAGCATTTTCTGTGGCGCTATCTCGTTTGATATTGTTGCCTGTTCCGTTCACTTGGCTTCCCTGTCTGCGGCGTTTCTGCCGATACTCACGCTGCTCCGGATGCATTTCTGGTGATGTTGCCATCGAACAGTGGGCATGGCGAGTTGGCGCGGCGAAGGGCGGAGCTGGAGACACTCCGTCGAGAAGTGGTGAGGGCCGCGGCGTGGCCTGTTTTTCAAGCACAAGCCCTCGGGACCATCCCAATCGCTGGTGGTGTGCCGTCTAGATATGTTGCTCGTGTTGCTGCTGCTGCTGCTGCTGCTCGTGTTGCTGCTGCTGCTGCTCGTGGTGGCGGTGGCGTTTACATGTCTGCTTTGATTCGATAGAACAAATTGCTGTTCTCGAGTTCTTGTTCTCGTTTGCCTCACCCAGTTGGTGGATTGATTGTCCAGTTTTTCACGGCCTTGCCGAGAGATAAACCGACTTTTCCTCGGTGTTGAGTCCGCACCATACCCTCTGCATGTTTGGATATTATGAAGCAGCTGTTCCGGCACTGCTGGCCCCATATCCTCCAATTTTTTTTCCTCAACAAGCACGCTGGAGTTGAAGTCGCCCCTTCCAACTCCCGAAGACGTCGTGCCCGAACTGCGCGAGACTTGGGGTTCCACGTGACATTGGAGTCGTGGAGGTTGCAACAAGGCACCAGATGGCCGTTGAATAAGCTAGTTAGTGTAGTTTCGGTTTTGAGAGGAGTCTACGACGCCTTGCCGACGTAGCTCGCCGTGGTCTGACCGACGTGACGCCCGACGGCGCTTTCGGTGCAATGTGCGGACCCCCCTCCGTCGCGCATCGTCTAGACTTTCGTAGGAATGGAAGGTCTTTGGTCGCAGTATGACATCTTGGCACGATGATGAATCCCCCCCCCCCTGCAAGGTTGGCATTTCGTATGTTGAGTGAAGTAGCGCCTGCCTGGGAGTTCCCGAACGCTGATGTCGTCTCTGGTAGGCACAGGAAGGACGTCCAGTGAAAGGAGATCAGACCCAAGTTTGCGTTTGGGTTAATGATGAAAGGTACTCTGGCAAGTAACGATGACCACCGCCCCGATTCTTGAACGGCTCAACAGGGCGCGGTGCGAGGGCCAATGGGAGGCGGGCAGGGAGGAGGGGCTGCGGCCGCGGGGGCGGCAGGAGGCAGCGGGGGCATGTCCCGCCTCGAGCAACAGAGAGAGACCATGAAAGGTGGACAACGTAGGAAACAGTATACGACTCGGATGGATGCAGCAATATGAACGATAGTATCAGCAACATCAGCAGTAAAGTAGCTGGCAGGCGACGGGTTGTGGTGCTGATCATTGTTATGTCGGGTATTTGTGATAGCTATGATGCACGTGTTGTTATCATTCGCTCGGTATAGCCAACCTGGGTTCGTTCAAATCTGGTGATTCCTTCACATCTGGCGACTCAATATCGATTCCACAACACTTACGATTCGAGATTCGAAAGAACCACCTAAAAATGCGGTGGGCTCTCTCTCTCTCTCTCTCTCTCTCTCTCTCTCTCTCTCTCTCTCTTTCTCTCTCTCTCTCTCTCTCTCTCTCTCTCTCTCTCTCGTTCGGATTTTGGTTTGATCCTTTCGCCGCTGCGCCCGCCCTCCGACAAACGTACCCCCCCAAACCGCTCCTCGCAGAACACGACCGCATGCTGGCGGACCTGGGTCGAGGGGTAGGACGGCTCAAGACGCAATCGGCGATGATCAACGAGGAAACGTCCCTCCACGTCAGGCTGCTGGATGACATGGAGGGAGATGCGGAGCGGGCGTCATCGGGGTTGCGCACCGAAGCAAGACACGCTGAAAAGGTACAGCAACGTAGTGCGCGCTTATGAGGTACAATTAGTGCACGCTGAAAAGGTACAGTACCTTACGCTTTAGAAAAGGTACAGCAGTGGTTTACGTTGCAAGGGTACAGCACCGTTGTTCCCGCTTGAAAGGTACAGGTAGTGCACACTAAAAAGGTACAGCAGTACTTGATGCTGAAAAGGCACCGTAGTGCACGCGTAAGAGGTACAGTCGTCCCCAGCTTTGAGGACGCGCATGATTTTCCAACACAAGAGTCTTTGCACCGGCGAAGTATTCTTGGTATGTATCCCTCCTACAGTATTGTGCTTTCATTCCGCGGGGCACCATGCCTAGGAAAGCGGATGGTGTTCTTGATTCCCAGCGGAGACGACTGTACGCGTTCACTACAGGTTTGCACAGCTCGAATATGGCACGTGAAGGAAGCAGTTCATCATCGATTTGCGAGGAGGCTTTGTACCGCGACGACACCGCCAAGTGTACCCGGTAGATCCGTCGCTTGATTTGGCGCACACGTGGGGACGAAACACGAAAGGGACAACGAGGCGCACTCGACAACCCTTACCCCGACCTTGCCATGTGCGTGACGCCGATGAAGTCGTGGCAGAGATTCGAAGTAGGGGTAGTGGGCGAGTGTTCGTGCATGCCTGTTCTTCGGCGCTGGTGCTGCTGTTTGTCACTCCTCGCAGCGCACGACGAGGAATTGGTGAATACACGCCATGATGGGAGGAGCGTCTAAGGAAGCAGCAACCAAGTTGGCACCTTGCTTTGAACGTTTGAACTTTTGAGTCACCTCTGACGACTGTGGGCGTGTTGTGACAAAGCACGAAAGATGGAATAGCACCCTGGTAAGCAGGCATGGCGGCTACACAGCCTTCCTGTGGGCCACCACCGAGGTGGATTATCCTCAGCCGTTGCTGTACGTTTTTGTATAGCACTAAAACTAGTGATGAAGGGTTATTCTTTCACACGTGTGCCGGAGCACTTAGGGGTTCCACTGGTTGTCTACGGGAGGGAGGGGGCGTCCACTCGCATTGAAACCCGGCTTGAACCCGCGGGAAAGGTGGTTGGGTGTTTGCCCTCGCCTCCACGGTTAGCTTGTTGTCGCTTTGCCCGCCAGGCTGTTGCTGCTTTTCTATTAACATGAAGCCCTGTTTTTCTTTTCCGTCTAAATTTTCTTTTTCCATATTCGTAAACGATGCGTCATCAGCTACATTTCTCACCAACGATAGTGATCACCTTGTGCCAAACGTTCACGCGATATTTCGCCTCCCCCGCTGTCCCGTGCCCGCTTCCGTGTGCATCCCCCGTCGTACGTTTTGCTCGGGTGCTTCCGGCAGATTCGTGAAAAGAGCAAGACCTTCAACCTGTACGTCATCATCCTGGTGCTGTCTATCATCCTCGCCATCCTCGTCTTTTCGGGCCTCTGATTGGTGTAACAGCAAGCACCCGATCGATCGGGAAGCCTGGTTGGTCGGATCGCCTGCTTGGTGGATTGGGAGTATAGCTAAACAACGTGTTGAGCTGGCTTGATGAATGTGGATTCAGTGCGTCAGATCTAGGCTGTTGAGTCGGTATGGTGGGTCATTACTTGCCCATCCATGACCATCTTGGATTCCGCCTTGTCGTATATGTTGCCGCGTAAATAGCCGTGTTTGTAGGAAGCCGTTCTCAGGATGACTTGAATACAGGACTTCAAGTACTGAAGCCGCTAAAAGAGCACGTGTTTGCTTTATCCAAACAATGTTGTCACCCGCACGAGAGGGACAGAGAAACCAGGGCCGTTCCTGTCACCGAATCATGGAGATGACTTTCATTGTGACCCCTTAGAAATGGTTTTATCCATGTACCAACATTGATGGATGATTCCCCTTCCGCCGGTCTTGTCGTGCTCTGTACCCATGATGCAAACGCGAATGAGTGCTGTGAAACGAATACTACGCAAGGGTCCTTCTACCTTTCCTAGCGTGGCGGGATGCGGCAGTGTAAGCCGGGTTCGTTCCTCTTATGGAATATTTTGGGCCAGATCATCTTGTGATGACGGAAATCCGCCGCTTTGCTGTTGAAGAACTTAATGAGCAGCTCTGAATTCTAGAAAATCAACAGCATCGATAGCGCGTCCCTGATGCCGCACAAGGGAGCTCGGTGCTAGACTTGCCGGGGGGGGACAGGTCCGCCGGACTTGCACCCCGTGCTAGCGTAGGTGCGCGCGCGTATTCCGAGGATAAGCCTACAATCCGTTGCATCATGTGCGAGCGTGTTCCCGGTGACTGATCCGGTCACGACTCAAAGCCTCGCTACTGTTACGATCAACCCTCCTTGTGGCGAGCTGGTTTGGGTGTCTATCGGTGAGAAAGCCCTCGACGATCCCGTGTGTGCGCACGATTCGTCTGCCGTTGATGTGTGCAGCAAATCTCTAGACCCTCCCGTCATGGCAAAAGGGTTAGTCGCTTTCGCATCATGTACGGCTCGGGCGTCTCAATGATGACAAGCTTGCTTGATGTGACCCTCGATATGTGTGTTGTAATTAGGGATAGCCCGTAGTACGCTGGATCTGCCCCCCCCCCTCGTGCGTCTGTTTCATGACACGCCTAGGGACGCCATCAGCTTGGCGTGGCCTCTGCAGCTTGGCATTTTTTTGGCATCCTACACTGGTCCCAGGGAACTCCGGCTTTGATATTATTCATGGCGTGGTTTGCGGGAGTCAAAAACATTCGACCACCCGCAAGAATTCCCGACGCTGCATCTGATCAGACGAACACCAAAAAATAGCACTACAGCATGTACACGAAGCAATTGGGGTCTGTGGGCGGTACTGCTTCAGGAATTACTGTGTCTGCTTCAGGAAAAAACTGCCAACTCAACCTGCCCCCCACCCCCCCGAAAGATGCTTGCAGTGATGCAGTGAGCCCCACACCCGGTCAATTGGCCCAATCCGCTGCTGGCTTTTCAAAATCGTTCCTCGCACTATTATTTAGTCGGTCTTTTCGTCCAGAAACGCGATAGCAGCGGCCATGCCCTTGTCCATTTCTCCTGCATCGGGCGCCTGACCCTGTGCCGAGGTGGGTCTCCCCCCTCCCCGGCCCCCGCAAGCCGCGAGCGAAGAACGAAGCCACTCGTCCGCCTTAAGCCCGCCCTGAAAAAAATAAGAGAAAATATAGTTGAATTGATATGGAGTATGATAGATAACTTATATCCCGGACTCTCGTCTGCGATTTTGTTGTTTTTGGTGAAACACAGAGATGATTTCGTTCGTTGTGGTGCAGAAAGAGAAACAAGTGACCAGATAGAGGGAGGCGAGGGGACACCTCAGACGGAACAAACTAAATGGAAGAAAAATACTTCGTACACTGAAGAGGAAAGGAAGATGCATAGATGAGAGAGCAAAAAAGCCTTAGGTGGGAAAAACCAGGGGTATGCAAGAGCAGAATTCGATGAGAAAAGAACATGCTCGCACTTGTGCGCCATAGATGCATTCGGGATTGTCGTCACCCCTTCGGGAAGCATCCCAAGGCGCAAGCAGTTTCACAAACTAACACGCACCTCCGCCGCAGCCCCTGCTACGGCGCTGAAAACCAGGAGCTTTCCCGTGGCCCCGGGTCCCTCGGCGCTAAAGCCCATAAAAGAGAGCCCCGGCGCGACCTTGGAAACTCCGTCGAGGACTCGCTTCACGGCCTTCGAGTCCGCCCCGATGGCCACCTGGGGAGGGGGTGACGTGGGAATGGAGTGGGGGGGGGGGG